TGTCTGCCTCCGCGACCCGAAAGGAGAAGTGGCGATGGAAGATGAAGATGGAAGATATGAGAGATAAAAAAGCTATTTCTAGATGACACCGCATATCAAATTTATAAGTGACACGGTGTATGTCCATATGGACTGGAAGCGCTTAGACACCATGGTGCTCCTTTGTGACTAGAAGCAAGGGGATGCAATGTTGCCATGTGACCAGATTTAATGACTTCATTGAAATGCTACAATCTGATAGTTTTCCGACTACATCATGGTTATTCTTTTGTTCAGCTAATGCTTCTGTACTACTGTTATATGAAATAACTTCTGATTTTGTTTAATCATTGAATCTGTAGCTATTTAAAACTATCATGAATAACTGAACAGAATCAGATGTCGCAAATTCTATGCACAACTGTTGTTGCGAACTCATCTGCACAAATAAACTAGTAACTCATTCAGGCTGATAGAAGCATCACATGTATGATATGTTGTCTGCTGCTTTAGCTGTTTTCTGCACTAATTTTCCCTTGATGTTCAGGTAGTTTGAAAAAAGTTAATGGATATAAACGATGCGAGAACAAGCTGACGCTATTTTGTGCATGCTGATCATGGAACAGTCAATGTGGAAATATGTCATTCCGGCAGTTTATGTTCTGGCGTTTTTGCCGATATTTTCGGCTCAAACCGTCACTTACGTAAGTTAACCTGTAACTGTTATTCCTGATTGTAATATTTCTGAGGGCAACTGATGTTTTAAGACAGGTAGCAGCTGCTGCGTGAATTATGATCTCAATGGGCAGTTTTCTAAGCTAGCGGTACATTCAGCAATCATGTCGTTCATACGGAAGAAATAGTTACCACCTGTTCAAAACCATAAGAAATTTTTGGTTTAAACGAGGCCCTTATACTTATTTCAGATACGTACATGTGGTCAAACCCATCTTTCAAATTTTCCCGGTTCGTAACTGATTTACTAGTTCGTGTTTTGTTTTATACGTCTGTTATTCTGCAAATGATCAGTCATTTTTTGGACATGGATTAAAAGAATGCTTTAGCAATGTAGAGACAACGGCAACGACCAGTCACTGTGTATTGAGGCTTAATTGCAGCACTATGAAATGTTAAACAATAAACATCAGGATGAAACCTGTATTTCCTGCTGTTCCTCGCTCTCGCTGTGTGCCATTAAACATGCATGACCTATTTTTGCTGCTGCATATTGTTTTTTGAACCAGTATGCATCCCAGTGATGGTGTTAATCTGTGAGTTTTTCAGCTACTGTGAACATGTAATGCCATGAGAATTATTTTAGATCGATAGCTGTCGATAAGTGAATCTTATATTACATTACTCTGAAACTTGATACAAGATAGAGACTCACATTTGGTCTATTGTCTGTGTTCTGAGTGGCAGTTTATCTTATCTCTCTCTCTCTTTCAGAACTTTACAAGGCAATAAATGGTAGTGACCAAACTCCATGACACATTTTGATATTTCATATTTATAGTCACTCAGTTAGTTTCGAAGATCGCTTATTCCTCACAAACGCGTGAAATCTTTTCTGGAAGCATTCGCAAGGCTAGTTCAAACCATCGCAATTGTCACTTCGCAATCTGGAAAAGCAATTGCTATACTCCAAGGCTGTCTCGGATACCATTACTCCAGATCATGTTGAGACGGATGAGATCAGCGATTCGTCCTAGACAGGCCATTTCAGCCGATTATACTCGGGATCGACGTTTTTCAGTCATGGTCCATGACTCATGAGCGTAAGAAAGCATGAAGATGAAGATAGACTTGAATGCCGAGGGCTTAGTCTTCAGACTCAGCTCTGCGTTAGTCACAACAGATCAGGCTAGTTCACGCAGAATGCCACTGGCTACTCCAGTTCGCCGGTCGATCTCTTCCTCAAATTTTCCATCACTAATATATACGACTCCACCTGCTCCATTGCCTCTCCGTTAATCTAATGGGAGCAACGGCAAGAGAACGAAAAAGTACTAAGCTTCTCGCTTTAGATGCGTTCACACGCATGCGGTCACGTCGCACTCGGCTGCGAACCTTTCTAAGGAGCACTGAAAATCAGTTTCAGAAGATGCTAATAAAACAAGGTCGTCTGCAAACAGCAATTCATCGCCTTACCTGCTCCTTACTATTCTATCCATGTACAACACAAACAGGAGAGGAGACAGGACGCAGTCTTGACGGAGACCAGTGCCAACGCTGAAGGGTTTCGACTTAACGGCATTTACTCTTACGCAGCACCTGTTATCAGCATATAGCGATTGGGTGACCCGTAGCAGCTGGCCATTGATCAAATATCTTTGCGGGCAGTCGCACAGTTTGTTGTACGGGACGCGGTCATAAGCTTTGTGTTGGTCAGTAAAACATATTTTAATTCTATGAACGAATGCTACTTCTACGCAATCTGGCTTGACTTCAAGGAGTGGCCAGTGGAGTTTGAGCTTCACCTGAAGCCACACTCCATTTGAATCATGAAGTCAGTTATTCCGAAGAAGTTTCTTCATAGCACCTTTGCGTATAGTCTTCTTGGAGACTTAATAAGACAATTCCCTGATCTCTGTCATCTACTTGATAGCCAATTGAACCTCACTTATTGGCAGGAAGTTCGTTTCTGACATGTGGGAATCAGGCCAACCCGTTTGAATCCGCAGCATGCGGCGATAACATCGATTATGCCGTCTTTAAGAGCTTCCAGTCGGTTTCCAGATCAGTAGTCATCACCGTAATCTATTCAAACCATTGTGCAATGCTGTTTGTAAGATAATGGAAGTATTATAAATGACAGGTGGCTCGTTGCAAAGTGAGGTCCTCATTACGATCCCCAACCCTCTTCCTTTCTCGTCCATGCTTGTAACTGGCAAATTCCGAGTTTATATTTAGAGTATTATGACTTTATCAATTTCATATTGCACTGAAATGAAGGTTTATTTACGCCATAACATTTATCCTACAACTGTTTTTCATCGTTTAAAATTTTTCATAAGCATGATTCTTAATTTGAAATTTGTTTCTTTCGAGTTACTCGTCACTCCCTATTAGGTTTTCTTTTACACAAAGTATAAATGATTATGAATTTTTAAAAATTTAGGATGGCATACAGTGCTACGTTATCTGGACTAGCCGGCAGATAATGAACGCCAATGCTGTGGAGGTGCTTGCGACGCCAATAGCGAATGACGTCAACCGGTGCGTGGAGGCATGCATATCGGTTCAAGATAGCGTTCCATGCTACGGCCTCAGTTACAACAGCCTCAACCAAGCGTGCACCCTCTTCCGATGCTGTTCTTCAACGCCTACCATTCTCGAGACGAACTATTGGGTGAATTATGCAATCGTCAATGGTTGTGAGGCAGGTAAGCATCAGCATGGCGACGGCAAATTCGAATAGATGAGGGCGTTTAAAAAAAAGTCAGACTGAATCAACAGTTTCACAGTTAGCTTTCATATTAGAGAATTTTTTTTCCATAGGATACTTTGTTCATGCGCTGGCAATTACTAATATTGAAAATCGATCAAAGCACGGTTTATTTAGCACAATTCAAATTTGTCCGATGACTGGCGTTTGGATGTGCATCGCGTCTTGGCCAAAATTGCTGCTCTGTTCGTTGTTGGTTGTTGATCACAGCTGGGTTTTATTCAACTTAGTCATATAGGCTTCACAATCAAAATCATTCAAATTTTATCCTGAATAATGTCTGTGAGAGACGTACACGGAGATAGATAATGTTTGTCGTAATGGCACATTATTATTTTGCGTACTGCTTTAGTACCGTATGTTTAATTGTAATTTCAGCAGATTTTGCCTCTTGGAAGTAATCTCTTTATACTAAGAATTTTAGAGGGTTAAGTCTTGGAGATTTTAAAGAAAGCCTGTGCTACGCCAAATTAAAATTTCTTAGTGATTCAAGGCCTAAGTTCGGTGCAAGTTAACTGCTTATTTTACAGAGTTTAGGGTTGTCGCTTTAAAGTCGTAAAGATAAATGCTCGCTATTAAATGTTTAATGCAGTCACTGTTAATTTATTTTCAATTAGCTGTTGCTCTTATTTAATTTGACATTTTAAGCCAGTTTATAATTGGTTCATGCCAAACTGCCTTGTTTCCTTTGAACGTTAGGGATAAATTGGTCTTGTCTTAAGTTGTTAAGACGATAGGTGTGTGACGACGTCCTTTTACTTAACTGTGAAAAAAGATACTTATTCATGATTATTCTAAAATGTTTTGTTGTCAATTTGACTATACTAGATGCCAAGCGTGATTCCTAAGAACGATAATATCAGAACATTTTTGGACTACATTTTTATATCAGATTGCTAGGGTATTGTTCAACCAGGCGATGCAGCGGTATTTTCTCCCACCTCATCGTTCAACGCCTTCCGAACCTTCAGTCTTGCCAATGGATCTTTATTCTTCGTTCAAAAAGAAAATGGCATGATGAGAAGTTTCACCTTTCTTTCGTTAGCGATTAATACGATTGATAATCCACAACTTTTCCATCCGGGATTTCTGCCAAAATTGCTTAAAAAATTTCCTTAACCACGTAACGATATCTGTTACCTTTTTATGTTATTGTGTGGTTTCGTTTCTGGTACGTGACAGATCTTCACGGTTAACAAAATTACCATCTGCCGATTGATCTTGCCCTAGTATGCAATTCTACACTATGATGGTTTCCTGTTCTCTATCACCTAGCATAGTTGTGGCACAATTGATATTTTTGTTGAATATTCATATTTATCATCCGTCTCTGATGGTGGTTTGATAAAATGATACGTTGATTGCATGAGAATAGTTTTGAAATGTGTGATTTCAGTTTCCTTAATTTTTAGCAACAGTTGCGCTTATTTTTTACTTTATTAATCAATTATTTGGTTATGTTTCAACCCTAAAATCTTGAATATTTATCATTAGAAAATTCAAAATTTAGCTAGTTTTCATGAATGCGCCTTTTAAATGCCTATTATGATCGTTATCTATTGGCTTGTTACGTTAATGTGTTATTAATAATTAATTATTTTTGGTTGCATGCTTAAAGTAATGTGTACAATAGTGGCTACAAGCACGGCAGCGACAGCGGCGCCAACATCTTCGCTACCGCCTTTTGTGCCTACGACTGATGGTGTAAATGGGGCATGCGGGTTTCCGGTCAACCAGCCGTACCCGCAGGTACCACCGAAAATGAGCCGTCAGAGCGTCCTCCCGCAGTCGCTTCCATGGATTGTCAGACTTCCTTCCTGTACAGGGGTTCTTATACCATCTGCCTATCCATCCAGCACTGATATTGTCATCACCACTCGAGAATGTATTGCTCAACAGGGGTAGGTATATTCTTGAGTTCATAACTGTATAGCTTTCGTTTCTGATACGCATAAAAGTGACGGATAAAACTATATAACTTCAGTCTATATATGACGGACAGCTGAAGATGGTAATGCACTCAGAATCGCATTGTTCGTCGTTAAACTAGTTGAGCAGTGTCAGAATTAATTAATAAAAATTATATCAAGAGATTAAGTTCACACGGATGTGAACAGTCGTATTCACTATATAAATTTTGTTAAGATCAGCACTACCTTCAATATATGTGGTCAACCATTGGCATCGGTTTCTCCTGGGAAAACAGTTTTTAATGTCACTGTGTTGAGTCTATTCGCCGATGATTTTCGTTGATTTAACGAATGAAAAATTTTCGTTAACAGTTATCAACAACAAATTACTCATTTCAATCATTGCACTTTGAGTTCGAAAAACGAAAAATGATGTCATCCTCTGAATGAACATTGCGTTGCCGAATCTAATCACTAGGGCTTAATTTGTTTCTTTTGATGTTGTTCGTCCGCATGTAAAACTAAATTCTGAAAGTAGTTTTTCAGTCTCAGTAGCTGTCCATGTTCCGTTAGCTTTAATGGATTTGATTCTTTTTCTAAACAAATGCCGTCTAATGTTTCCTGCTTTGCATTGTTAGTTTTTGCAATAGTGATTATGAAATTCGAATAGCTTTTGCAATTAACTTTTATAGTAAAAACGTTCGTTTGAATCCGTCTTTGTTGGTGTTGCTGCTTGGAGCGAGAGATCTATCAAAGCAACAGGAAGCTGGTCGCATACGAGTCCAAGCCTCTCAGATAATTCAGGATGTAAACGCTCAACCTTATGGCAATAACTTGGCCATTGTGAAACTTGCCCAGCCCGTGCCTTACACTCCGTACGTTCGCCCAATCTGTCTCACTCCACTTCACTATCGTTTCTCACCAGGGACTATATGTTTGACTGCTGGATGGAACTATTACGGTGGTAAGACAACTTCTCTCTTGAATACCTAAATTTTGAGTCTGCCATGGTGGTTCTATTATGACTAATATCATAGCTTAAACTTCTTTTAGAGAATTATATTTGCAGCAATCAATCAGTTCGAAGCTCTTATTTAACAAGACCATTGTTTGGAGGACTTAATTATCTGTTAATTAATATTTCAGTATTGCGGACAACGCTGATCTAGTTATGCGCACCATATGGTTTTTTCAAACACTTTGTTCAGGACTGCTAGCGATTGGAGCCATTCAAGGCAGCATCTTACAAATGCCAGTCTTCCGTCTTGCGCAGACTTACGAACCGATTGGTGAAGCCTGCACCTGCAATGGAATGCTGACTCTGATTGGCGTTCGAAATAGAAAAAATCGAGTCATTTGTGCTGGATATCCCTTTACCAAGACAATATTGCAAACGGTACATTCTACTACCATTGGTAATCTGATGAGTGTTTCATTAGCAACATTTTATGTCTTGCATAGATTATAAGATAAAATTACAAATTGAACCATTAGACATCAAAATTACAAAACAAAGGAGACATTCAAATGATCATTTTGAGTAAAAATGCCACGTGAAAGTAGGCTGAACAAAGCTCCCATTACAACTGCTCAAAATCCAGACTGCCGCGGCGAACTTATGTTTTACCAGTCTCACGGCATTTTCGACTTGAGCACACTTCCTTTAGTGATTTTATCTGCAGTCAGCCATGACATTCATTGATTGATGTCAGTCATTTTGTTATGATCGTTGTTTTTTCACAGACTATTATTCTCAGGAGAAGGTTTCCCTTCTCTTATAATTTACAAACTGTTCGCCATTTACTTTCTCATTTTCAGAAATAAACAATCACAGTGTAGAGTATGTAATTCATACATATAAAGACTTTAGGCTGTCAATAAAATTAATGACAAATCATTAATCGCAGCGCCGAAAAGGACAAGGACCGGATTTTGTGCCCCTTTCACGATATTATGAACGTTATGTTACGCTGTTACGCAGGCCCTTTCAATTTTCGCTGCAAATTTTTTATCATGGGGATGCTCAAAATTAATTTTGATTAATAAAGATCGATTAACTTGTGAAACTATAATCTTTAACTTATTAACTGCTATTAACTTTGTTGGAATTATTAGTATCACAAATTTATTATCTTGATCTTTGAACTTGCTTTTTAGACTGATATCGGGTGGCCTCTGATGTGTCAGGTTGGTGGTCTTTGGGTTTTGGAAGGAATGACGCTTGTGAGCCCAACGCAAATGAAGTCTTCCATTGGATTCTACACCAGGGTCAATGCCTTCAGAAATTGGATTCAACAGGCAACAGGCGCGCCTTTTTTCGTTGCCGTCAATGGTTCATATTGAAGCCAGATTTTGGTTTCGCAACCTGATGCTAATGAACTTACACAGTTGATATTTTTTGCAATTTCATGCTTTACTAATAGTAAACGTTAATGAATCTTCTGAGTTTGTATAATCAGTGCTAACTGATTATTATACCACAAGTATTTGTAGTTCATTAAGTTTTCAGGCACAAAATGAACCATCGATTTTAATGTCAGGGCGACGTTTTGGACGAAGCCGGCATGGTGCATCATCCTGGTAATAG